ATGGATTACTGTTCACTTCCAAATACAATAATTTGTGGCCAGTACTCTTTATCCTCACTTAGTAGAATATTGTATGCTGAATTTACCATTTATTTAGATACATAAATAAATGAAAAGGGTTTATTAACTGAAGTTATAGAACCAATAGGACCTGGGTGAAATTAAAGCATGGTATTTTTCAAAGCTCATTAACATAATAATCCAAATAAATGTGACATGTTCACTTAGCTAATTTTAAGTGAAATTAATTCAATATAATGCAAAACCAGAGAAGCATTTTCAGTTTTTACTATGGTTCCATGCAGCATAAGCCCAAATTCACCAGTGTAAATGGTATCTTCTCATTGCTCACCTGTATCAATATTCAACCACAACCCACTTCAGTAACTAGGTATGTTGAGTCTAGTTCACTGCAGTTTTTGTTTACCAGGTCTGTTCCTATCAACAAATCTTCTCTGTTCAGTGTAACTTTAGTACAATATATTTTGGGGATCCAGGCCTCTTGAATGTGAGGGTGGTTTTTTTTAAAGAGTCTCATAAAATATTTAAAGATATATATAAAGATCAGCATCCTTTTAATATAACAGAACAGGAAAAGTATTTATATTAAAGGTACTAATGGATCCCTTAAACATTATCCATAAGTGAGATGTGTTAGAAGCAGATGTTAATTGTTGGAGGAGTATCTACTTAATTTAAAACCATGTTACCAGCTTCATCTGTAACAAAAGGTTTCTTTGTTAAAAGGGGGAAAATATATGCATTGGGAAAATTTAGTGATGTAAAAACTTCATTGTAAATTGTTTGTAAATGGCTTCCATTAGAGTTCAATTACTTTTCTAAAGAAGAAGTCATAGTTTGCAATCCTATCTGGTTAAAATACGATGGGGTGACCTTTTTTAAAAAGTGCTCATTATAGTGAGATTCAGAATAGGACTGACCAGAACTGAACTTAGTGGAGACAGGTTCTGTTTCAATTCCCCCATAGACTACTGCCAAGCTCCCTCTGCCCTGACCTCTAGTGTTTTGCTATTTTAGTCCTTTGCAGCAACTGGCAAAGTACCAAGTTACATAGGAGTTAATTGAGATGGTTAGATGTCCACTGGAAACCTGACTGAAAGCAAATCCATTCTGACTTCTAAGGAAGCAAGTTGCGTTTTTGTTTCATACTGATATAGATACTTGCTTAAAAAAAAGTCTGGAAACATTTTACTCTAATCTTCTTTGTTTTGTCTTCCATATTTTATATTTATACTGTAAAATGTTAACAGTCTTTAACTAAATATGCTCACAAATATATATTTTATCTGTATACATTTCTAGATCTCTGTTTAGCCAGAGTAAAATTTCTAAACAGGTAATAGAAATCAGCCATCTTCAAAGACATACCTATTAACCTAAACTTTACCCTTAATCCTATATGTCACAAATCTAACATTTATTTCAGTTATATGAACCTTTTTTCTCACACATTCTGAGAGTAACTCTTATCTTTGAAACTTGGTATGCTTTAGGAATGAGACCTGGCATTCCAAACAAATGTTTAAGGGCATCCCAATCTGGGACATGCATTTACCAGGTGTACATCTGTTCTTTACAGCAAGGTTTTGCGAATTCATGATCTTCAAGATGCTATAAAAACTTTTCTTTTGCAAATTGCCTCACTTCACACTCCTTATATCAACAGTTTCCTTCATCTGGGAAAATGATTTGCACTCTCGACCCTGTAGGGTTTTCAATAATGTTGACATGCAGCAAAATAGCATATTATACATTTATGATAGATTTAATATCATCTTCTTCACTTCTGAGCAGAACCATTATGTTTGTTCTCTGTTCTCATGTATGCTCTAGTTACCAAACTGATAAGCAATGTAACTTACTGCAAAGATAGTCCATCTTTCTGGCAAAAAACAAATAAATCCAGTTTTTTAACAGTACCATAGAATGCACTTGCAGATTTCATTTCACTATAAGTATCTTTCACGTTACATTTGGAGAGAATTTGACCTAAGTTTCCAACTGCAGAGCCAGGGCTGGTCAAATATAAGCCATGTTGTTTGCTTCTCACACATCCTGAGCAAACTCTGAAATGTTTACTGCTTGGCCACATATCCCGCTAATTGCATGCCAGTCTTTATAGCCATTCTAAGCCCATTCAGGTGTAATTTGCTTTACTTCTAGGCATATAAATGAGACCTAACCAACACACTGGACCTGTGAAACTCTTGATCTTAAAACTACCAAGTAGATGCATTGGTGTACATATCTTTATCAGCCTTTATGTATCACATTTTTTTCCTTGTTCCATCTTGGTAGAGGTACATATTCAGGGACATACTAATAGCTCCCCTCACATTATCATCTTCACCCTTCTGGTAACTTTTTACTCCTACAGATTGGGTAGATGTGTCTTCTCATGGATTCACCTTGAGTATTCTCAAATTCCATGTTGAGAGACACAACCAGGATCACTCTGGATGCTTTCTGGTTGCATTGAGATTTGAACTGAGTTCTTCTCTTTCAAAGTCCAGCACTGTGATCAACATATTTCTCTAGCTCTTAGTCAAGAAAAGAACAGATGCCACTGATCAGCACAAATCTTAGACCAATAATAAGTCGGTTCAGACTGGGAAAATTGCACTGCTATTTGCCACCATATGGGTTGTATTAATGGGTTTGTAGGCATTTACTGGTAGTTGAGAAATCCAAAAGATTTAGGAATTCCAAATGATGCATGTGCTATATTGTTATTTGCACATTATTGTGCTGGAATCATTTTCCCCTTTAGATTATGTATCACTTTACATTATATTGCCTTTCACATATCATTAGACTTCCTTCCAATTTCCGTGTCATACAGAAAGTTTTTCATGGCACTTGGTTTACCTACAACCGTTTGCTTTTCTAACATTACAACGTAGTTACTATTCAAGACTATAACTGTCAGATTCTTGCCAGTACATCTGTATAACCCCTGCATGTATCACCCATACATTAAACATCAATAAGGTATAAGGTATCAATACAAGGGCAATACGTATTCATCCATACAAGTGTTTCCTATGTCTATGTGTTTCAGTAGTTTTTATTTAAAAAGAAATCTGTCTATTTATTACATTCAGAATCATTCTGTCATATTTATATGGAAATCTTGAATAATTTAGATTTGTATCAGATTAACCCTTCCAAATGTTAAGATGTAAATTGCTATAATAAATTATAGACATCGTTTAAAAATATCTGTGAAGTGCAGACCAGAATTCTGTAACGTGTCAGATGGTAAATTAATACATCAATTAACTTTCTAGCTGTTTACTGTAATTTGAAGATCAGTCATTAGGCCATGATTAACGCAGACATGCACTTATAACTGTTTTATACAGCTGGTTGTTCTTGAGGCATTACACCTGTTTCTAGAAGCAAATTGTGGTTTTCTTCAGACGCTTGGGGAAAAAACCAAGCAAACACCTTTTCAAATAACCTGTTTTCAGTTGCGTAGACATCCACTTGGGGTTCTTTAATGTTCTAGTCCCTGTTCAAATCCTCTAAAACCTGGCTCTTAGAAATTAAGTGGGCAGTGAGGTTGATCACACACTCAGCTGGACATGATATGGCAGAGTTGATCTATTAATTTTCCCATAATACAGGAGTTGTTCTGGTTTGAAAGTGTGTTCAAAACTCTTACCAGTTAAGATTTCCCACAGAAAGTAATACATAAATTACTAAATGCATTAGTGTGTAGTACCTGCTCTATTCATTATTTTCAGATCCATTCAGAACAGTCTTCACTGCTCTCATCACATTTGTGTTTGCTCATATTCTGTTCTCGCTCTTTTCCTCCTTTCATTCCTTCTCTCTTTTCTTTCAATAATGCAACCAAAGAAAGTAACCCTTATTGTACAATTCTATACCCTCGAATTTCTACTGTTTATTCAAAGAGGCATTTCTGCCACATTCAGAAACATTAAGGAAATACTCCTGTGCTGCAAAGTGGAAATTATGATAATTTATGTCCTTCAAAGAAGCCATTTCATAGTTGGGGGCATCACTCAGTCATTTAGCAGGTAAACAACTTGTGCTTCCTAATGGTGGAGGGGAGCGGAGGGGAAGAGTTCATCACTTGGCAACTACACTCCTGACTTTAGGCCTGCCTAGAGATAATAGGGAGAAAAGCAGGTTCGTTTAAGGATGGTGGTTAAATGGTCATGCATCATCCTTATATAGATATGTAGCCCTCTTCTTTCATAAATGAGAAAAAGCCTTGCCAACAGCCAAAGGATTTGGCTGGAAGCAAGCAATTGAAGCCCCCATGAGAGACCAGTTTATATTACATAGCGTCCAGGCCAGCAAGCCATTAAATGGATTGCCCCTGGCATCAGGTGTTCGCCCAGAGGTAGACAAAGAGGTAGTCATTGGGTGATACCTGTTCCTCCATCATGACTCATTTCTTTGTTGCTCCCTCCATGTTAGTTTTACTGCAAAGGATTGCAGTTTAAATAGGTCAATAAATGGTTCTTTCTTCCATATTTTGTTGTCTGGTCTCTTATGTCACATTGTTACTTCAAAAAGGAATGAACTGTAATATGAAAGAAGAGTGAGTACTTCCTGGTTACCACTGCACCATTTTGCTACTGCTACATTTCCTTGTACAGCCTATCTGCCTGTTCAGATACAGACACCTTTTTACGAAGCCTTTAGTGACACTCCCATGACTATAAACCATCATACATGCATCCAGTGGTATTCTGTGGCTGTTGGGGGAGGGTTTATTTTTCAGTTTCCTATACTCCTGAAATTTCTGGCCACCGTTAGCAAAAATTGCTATTCAGATTTATTTGAAATGGATTTGAAGAATATGAACATTCTTTCACTTATGGATAAAAGTTCACATCATCCATTAGCAAATATTCTGTTTGATTCACCAACATACAATGTGATACAAAATATTACTAAAATCTTGTGATGTTATGGGTTTTTAAACATTCTTCTTTTTTTAGGCACCTTAATAATGAACATGCATTGGATGACAGAAGTACTGCTCAGTGTCGGGTGCAAATGCAAGTGGTTCAGCAATTAGAAATACAGGTTTGGGAAAATATTCATCTTTTGCATATGTTTTATTTTGTTAATAAAATGTCTTTGGTGCATGATAAACAAGATTGGACACAGCCCAACACACATTTTGGTGCCTCAAATGTTTATTTTGTTAATAAAATGTCTTTGGTGCATGATAAACAAGATTGGACACAGCCCAACACACATTTTGGTGCCTCAAATGGTAGCCCTTTTTGAGTAGTATATTTGACCTGCTGATTCCAAAAATGGTACCTTCAGCTCTATTTTTTGAGATACAGTGTATATGCCATATACCAGTCTTCATCTGCTCACCCATAGGCAATCATGATAATAAAAATAAAAATGAGGTGGGGAGGGGGGAGGAGAAGAAGCAAGGGAGTTGGCAGGGGCCAACAAATCAAACATCTAGCGAAGATATTAAGACCTCGGTTGGGGACTGCGGCATGGGGGGGGGAGGTGTTCCACTAGCCGAGGGGCCCCCATAGAGGTCGTGGTGGGGAGAAGGAGATGCGGAAAAAGGAGACCTCAAATTCGGCCTAATTCGGACCACTTATCAACATTAATAATCCCA